AGTCAAGTGCCTTTAGCACTATGCTGCCAGAGCTCCTTTGGAAACTTTCTGAGACACCTTAAATTGAAAGTCGGCTCAGTGACACATGTGTGAATACCTCTGGAAAGCCTGATGATCCCTCAGCTGTCCCAGAATGCTGAGGAAAAGCTTGTGCTCTGGTTTAGGGGAGTTTTGTACTGTGTGATAGAGAAATGGTCTCTATAGGAATTGTATGCACTTCCTGCTTTTGTGTGGTTGGGAGATGGAGATAAGGCAGTTACCCACCTGTCTAATAAAAGACAGCAGATCCACAAATAACCAGAATTTGTGTCCACTAAGCTACGTACTATAAGAGTGGAGCACATTCCTTGTCTCAACATTTTAGAATAAGGAATGGATAGAATCAAGTGTAATACAAATAGAAAGTAACAGGGACTGTGAGATTTATTTTCCATGAAGGTGCTTACAGTAATTCAGAGGGCCAAGAAAAGCATTGTGCAAGGAGATGGTGTTTCAGGGATGAGCAGGACTTTGTGGAACGAGTGGACCAAATAGAGGGGACCAGGTGGTCTGGACTAAGTGAACTGGAAGCATTGTTTTTACATATAGAGGGCATGGTTTGACTGTAGCATGGGGAAAATAGAATAAAGTTGTGAAGTCTGGAAAATAAAATATTTTCACTTCTCTAAAATCGTGTAAGATTAAAAAAAAAAGTTCAGTGTGCAAGACCTTCATGAGAAAGAACAATTAAGTCTGAATGTTTATATATCCTTGTTGTTTTGTTTTGAAATATTATCTGCATTTTACATTAACAAGTTAGAATAAGTGTAGTATTATTACTCTGTAGTATTTTTAGCAACTTTTTGATTTGTGGATCTGAAACTGTACACCTGTTCTTCACTTACTATCTTATCCTATATTTCACATTTACAACAACAACAAAAAATCTACCATCTGACTCTTTTCTACATTAATGACTTATCTATGATAGTAATGAATGCTGAGGTGTGAGGTAAAAGTAACTCTGGTTGTATTGGTTAAGGTTATATGTCAGCTTGGCTGGGCCATGATTCTCAGTAGTTTGCCAGTTATGTAATGATGTAATTTGGCAGTTATATTATGATGCAGTCATCTTCCAGTTTTGCATAATGCCAATTTTCATGTAATGGCCTGATTTTTGGAACCTAACCATTTCAGTAAGTGAATAGTGGGTGTAGTTTGAGTATATAATTTATCAGATTTTATCACAGGATATTATCCATAATTAATTTATATCCTGTCTGCTCCTTGCTTGTATTGATTATTTCTCCACAATAGCATGGACTATATTACAGACAGGTTTATAATTAGAAGAAGGACATGTATATCAGTGAATTGTACTTAAACAAGTTGAGTTTACTGGGGAATCTTACTTCCTGTATATCCATGTTTGAGGTTTCATAATGCTCAATTCTTTGGTTCTTTTGATGTTTAGTCCTTCAGACAAAAAGCAGTAACTTACTTTGTCATACTAGTGTTGTCATCCTAAAAAGAGCTCTTAGTTTAGTAAAGGACTAGAGACTTTGTGACAGTGATACCTGGCAGTGTTTTCTTTCCTTGGGAAATTTTCTGATCACCTAAGCCTCTGCAGTCTTTGGTACTGCCTCTCAGTGTGCCAAGTTTGCTCACCTTTGGTGGTTCAGCTTTACTTACCTTTTGCTTATCTGTGAGGAATAGAGGATTTTGCTTTTGGGAGAGGAGTTTTTATCCTGACAAACTAAGCTTATTTTCTTTTGAGAGGTTTATTGGATTGGTAGACGATAATACCAGGTGTATCTTCATTTTATTTTAGCAGATAGTTTGACCACATCTCTCTTGAAATTTATGGACAAGAAGGAGAAATAGAGCACATTGGTAGTCTGCATAGATAAAATTTAATCGACTCAGCCATCTCTATGCAGGGAGTGTAGATTAATTGATGGGTGTCAGCCTGAAGGCTATTCTAAATGCTGTCCATAGCACTGTCCCACTGGACATCTTTATCATCACCTTGGATAAAGAGCTAAGAATATGTAGAATTACAAAATTCTTAGACTCAAATAACCTAGTGGAGTTTATTAGGGATAAATGTAACTTCTAACATGTAGTTGCACAAAATTATTTTGGGAAAGGGAGATGTACTTTAATTCATGTTTTTGAAAGAGAAAATTCAAAGTTTTAGTAGACCAAGTTGATACAGACTGAATAATGTGACTATTAAAACAAAAAACTTTTGTTGCATTAGTAAAAGTAAGATGTCTTGAAGGGTAAGAGTAAATTACCCTACTGAATCACATATGATCACACATAATCTTGTTTTTGGTTTTAAATTTCACGTTTTTAAAAGAGAATTAAGTTAACAGCAACAGGTTTGATTTTGGTTTAGACAGAATCAAGTGCTGGCAGGGTAATTTGTCTTCACAGCCAGGGCATATGAGGGCTGGTGGAAGGAATGTTTCACCTTGGTTGATAATTATAATTAGTGTCGCCAGCCATGTTCCAGAAATGATGTAAGTCTGCTTATGGAGATGTATTTAATATGTAAAACAATAAAGGCTTCCGTTTATTTGATCACTTGCTTTGTGCCTAGGAGCTCTGGTGGCATAATGCCTAAGGTATCTTAGAAGGTTGGTGGTTCAGACCCACCAGCCACTCTGCGGAAGCAAGACTGGACAGTCTAGTTCTGTAAAGATTTACCGCCTTGGGAACTCAAAGGGGGGTTGCTGTGAGTCAGAATCAACTCGAGGGCAGTGGGTTTTGCTTTGTGCTAAGCATATGTATTATCTATAACCCATTCTCCAACTCTTTGAAATAAGTGGCAGTATTTCCTTTTTTAGATGAGTAACTGGATATTCAGGATTGTTAAATAACTAGCACAGCTTATTTAGGCGTTTAATAAAGGGTAGATCTGGGTTGTAAACTCAAGCTGCTTCTGTTACACTATACTGTTCTGGCACAAGCATACTGATTGCAACTGGGATGGTGAGGGTGTCTGCTTTTCTGTTTACAAGCAGAGTAATTCCTGAAAGGCTGTTCATAAGTCCAGAATGATAGTGTATATAAATAATAACCAACATTTGTTCAGCACTTACTATGTACTGTATGTGTATGTTCTAGGTGCTGTACATGCAATTTATTTAATTCTCTCAATCAGTGAAGTAGTTACCATTATTATCACCACCCTGCACGTGAGGGACTGAGGCAAGGGGAGTAAGTAGTAGAGCCAGGGCTTGAACCAAGCTGTTCAGCCGGGAGACCACACTTGTAGCCACTGTGCTGTTTTTGCCTTACGCAAGTGACCACTGCTTGTGCACATGGGTGTCAAGTAGCAAGAATAGTAAAGTAATTCTTCATGGTATTGTTTAAAATTCCTTATTGTTTTCAAGTTTCATTTCAAAGATGTTTATACTTTAGTATTACTCTCTTCATCACAATTTTATCACAAACCCTGGGGTGGAGCGTAGATTTCAAACACACAAGCCCAAGGATGGCTGGCTGTGATAACTGTGGCTGAACTTGATTGTTGCCGCCCTCTGGTGGTAGTAGGCAGTGCTGATCCGCTTTGACTTGGGGCCTTAAATTTGTTCTCACTTGTGGTTAAGTGGAGTTGTCGGCAATGATTCTTGACTGTCATTTGATAAAGGAATTATGATGTTGAACTTTTGAAACCTAAAAAATGTCAGGTTCATGTGATTCAACCTAATAAGCTCAAGAAGAGGAAGTTTTAGAGAAACTATTTTGTGTTTTATTTTAAGAATTTTGGGATCTATTGGAAGTTTCAGTCTTTAATTTTTCTACTGCCAACTTTCCCCTATGCAGTCATTCATCTGTGAAGTAGGTATTCCATTTCACTTCATATTACTTTTTTCTTCTGTTTCTAACATATTACTGATTTGGAGCCTGTTTCTTATCTCTCTTATAAGGGTTTCTTATATCTCTTGCCATGGGTAGAAAGTGATTTTAATATGTTCTAATTTGGAACACTGGTCACACACCCTAGTGGTGATTTTGAAATGTATCCTAGAGTATGGTTTAGGTTTTTACTGCTTTTGATTATGAAATTATACTTGAAAAAGTAGTCATAATATTTTCAAAAGCTTTATAATAGTACTTGCTTTTAGTGGAGATTGTACCATTGTATTTTGGGAAAAATTTGATTAACTGAAGAAAGGTCTGTTCCAGATATTCTTGTGTGAGCTAATATATAACATAAAGTAGGAGTTTAAGGTGATTGCGCTTACTGGAGTTGAGCATATTGTGAAGAGGTCGTCAATAAACTAACTTTCTAACACACCTGAACTCCTTGTGACAGCTTTATTTTTTTGTCACTGGTGCTCGACAGAGATGTGTGTGTGTGTGTGTGTGTGTGTGTGTGTGTGAGAGAGACATTTTTGGTCCCTGAATTTGATCATTTAGTCCCCCATGTTCTCCTCATTCCTTCTGTCTCCACTCAGTTGTTGGTGGTTTTTATCTTGCAGTCTCAAGACCAAACAAAATACGTGGTAGTGAAATCTAAAAAAGCTCATTACTAAAACCCTTTGTAACACTTAAACTCTGCCTTTGCAGACTTGTAAAGTCCTTTAGGTTTCACACTATAAAGAGCCCCTATTGAAATTTTCTCTGTGTGTATCTTTCCAGTATAAACAGGTGCCAGGGGTGGGTGAATCTGAACCTACTCCAACTCATGAGTGAAAGGTGCTGGGTTGGTTTTCCTGGTTTCTTCAGAATTTTCCTCTGCTCTCTTTCCAGAGTCTGTGTAAGCCAGAGAACTTGTATGACTGCTTAAGAAACATGTTGATCTCTTCTTTTGAAAGATAAATCACAGTTGTGTCTATTACTTTATCTCAAGTTATATTCATCTCCTCAAAACAGGGAGGTCGTAGCAGACTGATTGATGTCTTTGGCTTCATATGCTAACTTTTCACTTTTTATTGCCATGCATTGACACATGTTTTGTAATAACTATAGGGTAAGTATGAGGAATCTTTGTTTTTGTTTTTCAGTAACAAATACTTTTAAGAAAACGAATGATTTTGTGACATCTAAAATACCAGCTATTGACCTGGACCACAAGTTTAGATGCAAGGTTGTGGACTGTTTAAAATTTTTCCGCAAAGCCAAACTATTGCACTATCACATGAAGTATTTCCATGGAATGGAGAAGTCACCAGAGCCAGAAGAGAATCCAGGGAAGAGGCATGTCCAGACACGGGGTTCCTCAGTTTCAGACAAGGCCAGCCAGGACAGCCTGGCCAGGAAGCGGGTCTCAGCCAGTTCCCCAAGTAAGTATTTTAGTTTCCTGTTGGGTCATGGAGGGCTCTGCTGCTCAGGTCACAGTGCTTACATTTCTGGAAAACACAGAAAACAGGTTTTAGGATGATCTGGCCCAGTTGAATCGTAAAAGATTGAAAATCACTCGTGAGTTGGATCGTGCAGTGATAGCCTTCCTAGAGGAAGCAGGAATATTTCGCTTTTATTTTTGCTTTTGCCTGTTATTGCCCAGGGAGCTCTGGTAGCGTAGTGCCTAAGGCATTTGAGCTAACCAGAAGGCTGGCAGTTCAGACCTACCAGCCACTTCTCGGAAGGAAAAATGAGCAATCTACTTCCGTAGATACGTTGTTGTTGTTAATGTGGCACCGAGTCGGACCCGACTCAGAGCGACCCCTCCTTGGGTTTCCAAGGCAGTATCACTACGGAAGTAGATTGCCCCATCTTCCTTCCGAGGAGTGGCTGGTGGGTTTGAACCGTCAGCCTTCTGGTTAGCAGTCAAGTGCTTTAGGCACTATGCTACCAGAGCTCTCTCCATAGAGATGCTGCCTCGGAAATCCAAGGAGGGGTTGTTGTGAGTAGGGTTTGACTCGATGGCAGTGTGTTCTTACTGCCCAGGTCGCTTAACCTCAGAGGGCCTTCATGTTCACAGTATGAAGTAGGGACGGTGAGGAGGGGGAAAGTCCTTCAGAAGTGGGCAGGAGAACTCACATTCAGAAGAGCATGGATGTGGTAATCCTATTACACCCACTTATGCCAAACCTATATCCCATCCCTACCAGAAAGACAAAAGAGCAAAAAGATGATGATGAGATTTTACTGCTGTGTCCAATTTGAGTCCTATTTTATCTTAATTGCAACTGTGAAGACATTTTTTAACAGCACTTCATTTTGCATGGAAACTACAGTGATGGTAATAAAGGTTACCATAAAGTTTCATGTTCATATCTTATTACAGAGAATCTTTTTGGAGATTTCTTTTGAAACTGATAGAAATTGAAATATTACATGTTTCTTGAAGCATTTCAAAAGGATTAATAAGTTTCCAACAAATTAAGCTTTTCACCTGGAATCGCACCATCACTATTTCTTTTGACTTACAGCTTTTTCATTTCTAATACATAGGCATTAGATAGTGTGTGGAATTGCTGGGACATTTGGTTTCAGGGTACTGGGGCAAAGCTTTGCAGAATACGATGATCTCTGACACTCAGCTAAGTCAGTCCTCAGCTAGTCTGTGAAGACATAATGTGTCAAGGTCAAGGTGGAGTTTTGCCATATGTGCTATTCTGTTCATTAGAGATACAATGTGAGTTACATATGTAATTTAAAATTTTCTTGTAGCCACATTTAAAACTGAAGAGAAACAGGTGAAATTATTTTTAATAATTTTTAACCCAGTATATCCAAAATACTATCATTTGAGCATGTAATCAGTATAAAAATTATTAGTGAGCTGTTTTATACTTTTTTTCTTATACTAAATCTTTAAAATCAAGTGTGTATTCCCAACAGTAGAAAGACCTACAAGCAGCACACCTACCCCAGGGAGATTCACCCCTTAGATTAGTCAGCCATGAGACATCAGAGGGGCAGCATTCACATCGAGGGAAAGCTGGACAGACAGGACTGCATAGATAAGAAGGGCACAGGGAGGGGGTAGTCACAGGGAGGACAGAAGAGGAGAGCTTTTTATGATTGGGGATTGTAATCGGGTCTGTGAAATCAAACTGCATAAACTGTTGAGAATAAAATGAATCTGCTTTGTAAATTTGCACCTGAATCACAATAATAACAAAAAAATCTAGTGTGTATTTTGCACTAATCGAACATCTCAATTCAGACTAATCACATTTCACGTGCTCAGTAGCTGCATGTATTGAACGGTATTAAACTGTGTGGCATTTTTACCCTCAGCTGTAGGCTGTACTTGATGAGAGTTGAGTATTGAGCTAGAAGGAGCTGCCTGGGGAAGACCAGCTGGCCAGTGGCCAACCAGGAGGTGACTTGAGTTGTGGACTGGAGGGCAAGGCAGCCCTTTTATCACCTTAGTGACTACCAAAAGCTGGATCCTGGCCCTGGCACCCACCATGGGATTGATGCCTCTCAGAGCAGACTTCTAGGAAGCAGACTGCAGGAGAAGAATGCTCAAGGCCATGTGTCAGTTATTTATTTTAAATGAAGCCCACAACCTCCAGTCTTCTTTCTTTGGTTTAGCTTTCACATTCCTTACCTTCATAGGGTGGGTCTCTCTTCACTGTGAGTTCTTAAATGTTTAGTGAGGGATGAGATCTTCTCTGGGAAAGGAAAGTTGCTTATTAATAGAACATTAGAGCATTTGCATTAGAGTTGCCTCAGGCTAAAATAGATTGATTGTTTATTAAACAATATCAGTAATAATGCCTGTCATATGCCAAGGAGCCCTGGTGGCACAGTGGTTAAGCGAATGGCTGCTAACTGAGAGGTCAGTGGCTTGAACCCATCAGTAACTGCATAGGAGATGACCTGGCAACCTGCTTCTGTAAAGCACCCATTGCCATGGAGTCAGTTCTGACTCAGGGACCCTACAGAACGGAGTAGAACTGCTCATAGGGTTTTCTAGGCTCTAATCTTCATGGAAGCCAACTGCCACATCTTGCTCTTGTGGGTTTGAACTGCTGACCTTTCCATTAGCATCTGAGCACTTAACTACTGCAGCACCAAAGCTCCTTCCATAAAAATTACAGCCTAGGAAACCCTAGAAATACCCTATGGGGTACTTCTGTCCTGTCCTATAAGTTGCCATGAGTTGGAATTGACTCGACAGTACACAACAACAACATTATGTGCCAAATTCTGTTCTGCATACTACAAAAGAGATCTAAGTTTCATTCTGCCTGATGCTCGTAGTTGTGGATATTCCTGGCACAAAGAAGTAAGTTGACTCACTTCTTAGGCCAAGCTATCCTCTTACCTGCATAGTGCTAGTTTTTTTTTGTAGGGTCAAATACGTTGATTCCTTAGGGATTTTAATGTCTGTATTGGCCAGTTGTGCTGCCTTTGTTGGCCATTCTGTGTCTGTTAGGTGAGTTTATATATCTCTGCTGTTGATTATGTGGTTAATTCTGGGAGGAAGCTTATTTCCTAGGACTTGGGGGTCACTGGAAACCTACTCTACTCCCTACCTCCCCCTACTCCTTCCCTCCCTCATTTCCTCCCCTCCCTCACATATTACCTATAGTATTTGCCCAGCCCAGGCCTCACTTGGAGCGTAAGTTTTAGAGCTGGGCAGGTAGAGTATGAATCTTAGCTGTTTCCTTAATCATTCTTGGACTCTGGTGGTGTAGTAGATAAGGCATTTGGCTGTTAACCAGAAGGTCCATGGTTAAAATCCATCAGCTGCTTTGTGGGAAGAAGATGAGGCAATCCACTTCTGTAAAGATAAATCTTGGAAACCCAGTGGAGGTTGCTGTGAGTTGGAATTGACGTGATGGCACTGAGTTTGGTTGTTGGACTCTATGCAGGTCTCCATATCTTTCTATGCCTTTCTGAGTGTGAACTTGCTGAATTCTTGTGATGAATCTAAGAGCTAATCTACTGAATGAAACTGTTGCAAGGCCTAATGTAGGAAACAGATTTATTTGTTCCCCTTATTCCATGGTTTCATCTGTCTCATCCAGCTGTGCGTGGCTGAAGTTGGTGTATTTGTGAGCACAAAGTGAATTGTTAGGGAGGGACTATTTTGAGTCACTTCAGTATCTTGTGGGCTCTGCTCAGAGCCAGTGGCACAGCCAGCACTAAAGGAAGTTGCATTGAGGTGTTAGAAGCCAGTAGATACAGTGGGTATTGGATATAGTAAAGGAGTTCTGATAGTGCTTATAGTTAAAAGTTCTGATAGCTTATGGTTAAAGCTTTTGGAGAAAGATGAGGCAATCTGCTTCCATAAAGAGGTACAGTCTTGGAAACCCTGTGTGCCAGTTCTTCTCTGTTCTATCAGGTTGCTATGAGATGGAATCAACTTAGTGGCAGTGGGTTTGGTTTTTGGGTTTGGATACAGTAATGGAGCAATATCTGAGCAGTACTGGGGCACACACTGGAGGGACTGAAGCTTACTCGAGACCACACAGAGCTTCCAGAGCCAGGTAGTTCCAAAGGCTGAGGCTTGGCAGCAGGAGGCCATGGGGGACCCAGGAAAGTTGTGCTTGCCTGACTGCTGCAGTATGTGTCTTTTGTGTCAGGACATCGTTCCCCTGCCAGTCTCTGCTCATGGAAATTGTCAGAAGAGGGCCTTGCCCAGTGCAGTGCACCTGAGTATTGGGTGGGAGTTCCTGGCCATGTATGGATCCCCTGACTGTGGGATTCCTGGTTAACTATGCTTAAGAGTTTTGATTGGTATTTAGTAATATGTGCAGGCTTTGAAGTCAGCATACCTGCGTTGGAATCCAACCTCCATTACTTGTTTTCTCCATGACCTTGGGCAAAGAATTTGCTGAGCTTCGGTTTCCCCATCTGTGCTACCTCCTTCATAATTTTGTTACATGAAGACATGAAGTAAAAGGCTTAGCACAGTGTATGACCTAGAGTAAATTTTTAGTAAGTGTTGGTTCTGTAACTCAGTGAAAGCATTAGCCCAGTCAGAGAGCTGAGTTCTAAACTCCACCGACCACTGATGAACTGCAGAACCATTGTAGTATAATTAAGAAATCTGAGAGATTGATTTTCTACTCCCACACACTGCCTTTGGGTCTCATACCATTATACTGACCTGGGATTTTATTCCCTCACATAATGCAAGAGGATCCCTTCCACTGGGGTCTGGAAATATCTTGGTGATTTTTGCCTGCCATTTTTTTTTTTTTTTAATATAACAAGAATTGCTCTGAGTATACTCACAGGGGCAGACAATTATAAATGCTTTAGTGGAACCCAACTCTTAAATCCATTTTAACTTCTTATCTCTGCTGTTCTTTTGTATAACTGGTCAGTTTGGTGGCAGAATGTGCCACACAGACCACATATCTACTTCCTGGGGTACACCCTTTTCATTCCTGTACCCTCTCACGTGGAGGGCAGGATTTTTACAGTCAGAAAGGAAAGGAAGGACCAACAGCCATGATGAAGGCATGCCTGTCCTCATTTCACATGGGTATAGACCTTATAGACAACTTCATGACTGTCCAAATGTATCTCTTTTGACTGATTGCTGACCTGAGATGGCTAGTAGTTACCAGGCTGAAGGATTGTCTATCTTGCCAAGTTCTGGAATGGAAACTTGAAACCCTGGCTCGGCCACCAGCCAGCAGGAGTCTCACTGTCATCATCTGTGAAATGGGATCTGTAGACATGGTCAGCCATTGTCACGTGACTGGCTGTCAGTGAGAATGAGCATATCAGGGTATTCATAAGATTCCACAGTGTGGCTGTCTCATTCTGCCCCAAGCCTCTAGAAGGCACCCCTGTCCCATGTTACTACTCTCGCCTTCCTCCCTCCATTTTGGCAGGGTCTTTTGGGATACCTGACTGACTAAATTTCTTAACATTTTGAAAAATAGAACTAGCTCATCTGTTCTCGCAGTATAGCTGAGTTTCTGCTTCAGACTTCTAAGAATGCCCTTATCTTTAGGAGTGGCATTTCAGACATTGGCGAGTTCCACTGGAGAGAATATAGGGTGAGACTCTTATAACAGGCAGCCTGTTTCATAGTTCACTGGCAGTGTGAACTCAATATTCTGCTTAAGTGAAAAGCAGATAGAAAGAGTATTATGGAATTGGGGACGTTCCCTAACATCCCTTTTGTAGCCCTAAAACAGTACCTCCTTTGTGCTCCGTACTCTTGATTATGACAAATGGGGACTTGGATTCTCAGATGGAGATTTTCTAGGCTTCCTGTAGAACCATCAGGATCAGAAGTACCCTGCAGAGATTATTATATTATTTTTTGTCCCAGTAAGATTGAGCAGGAGAAGTAGTTCTGGATTGAGAATCCAGAGACTCAAGTCCTGGTAGCAATCCTGCCAGTGTTCACTGGGTGACTTTGGGCAAATATCTTCATGGATCTCCTTTCCTCATTGCTGAAGTAATGATGTAGGACGGGTGTGAATAAAGCAAGACCCTTTCAGAGGAGCACCTAACCAGAGGCAGTGAAAAGGGCTGAGTTTTATATTAGGAACGTACCAAGTGCTGTGGGAACACAGATTCAGATTTTGCCTGATATGTTAAGAAGAGAAGGTAACATTTAAGTTAGATGTTAAAAGGTAAGGGTGAGTCAGAATTGGACCTAAAGTAGGAGAATGGAAAAGGAAAAGCATCCTTTTGTGCATGTGCCAGGGGTGGGTGGCTGGGGTGGTTAGCATTAGCGAGCAGTTTCAGAGGCACTAAAGGGAACCAGTGATCCCTTCCCCTGCAGTGTCTCTTCTGACACCAGCCTCTGTAACTCGGCTTCCTCTTTCCTCAGCCAAGCCTTTAGTCACGTAAGAGAATTTGGATTTGCTTTTCCCAATAAGGCTTCTCAGGGCACCAGGATCTTCTTAGTAAATTCTCTTCCAGGTTGAGGTCAGGTTTCCTTGGTAATTGTATAAATTCAGTCCTGAGTAATAGCTTAATTAAAAAGAGTGTTCTAGTGTCAAAGGAAACCCCTCCTGTGTTTGTTGCCTACTGGCCCATCCGTTTGGTTCATATACTCACCCTGGGTGAAACTTGGCTTTGGGGAACAGATGCATACTTCTTTGTCACTGTCTGCACCTTTCCTTGTGGTGCTAGATGGGCCTTCTCACAGGAACATGCCCTGGTCTCCCCTTAAAAGGGAGAGTGTGATATGAACTTAATTAGGATATAGATTACAGTGTCGTTAAAGAAAGAACCAAAATATCTGGCTTAAACAAGATAGGTTAATTTCTCTCTCAGATCAAACTTTAAGCTACACAGAATGACTCTGATGTTTCTGGGACCCAGCTGTTTCCTCACTGGTCCACAGGCCTAAGGTGTTGCTCTCCTCTGCTTGGTCCAAGGTGGCTCCCCACTTTGCCTGTCAGTCACTAGGAAGGGAACAGTATGCTTTTCTCTTTCAAGCGACAGCCACAAGTGCCACATGTCACTTTTGTTCATATCCCACAGGCCAGAACCTCTGTACATGGTTACATCTAGCTCAAGAGAAACTGGAAAATGTAGTCTTCTCCTGTGGAAGAAGTAGAGAAATGGATGTTGAGGGATATGCATAGCAGTCTCTGCCTTCACTAAGGCAGAAAACGAAGGGTGTGAGGGAAGGGTTTATGGAAGGAGCCCACTTGGGCTGGTGTCTGGGTGGGGTCCCTGGTGGTGGATTAATGGAGGATGAGGCTGGGAAGGTAGAGATGGTGAAATGATAGTGGCAGACCCCTATCCTCTGATAAACAGTAGAAATCTCTCCAAGTGTATTCCCACTCCTCTTCTGCCCTTTAGTTGCCATTCCCTTGTGTAGGTGAAAACACGCTCTTGACCCTGCGTGTTCCAGCCACGTGGTCATGCTTTATGGTATGCAAGCATTATCCCACACGTGATGATGATGTTAACACTTTTCTTCTTCCCTCCTGGAAGCAATAGTCTGATGATAATTGACCTTCTGCCCTCATAAGTTGCTCATGATCTGATGGAAAAATAGAGAGCAGGTTGTATGTAAGGAGAGAGCTAGAAAGGCTGTCTCTGGCTTTCTCCTTGTGAGCACTGGACTGGAGAGAGGACAAGTGGCCATGCTGGAGGAAAGCCTCCCCTCTGATCCAGAGGCCTGGCAGGATGCTACTGTTTGTCCAGCCCTGCCTGGCAGTGGGAAGGAAGCATTGCAACCAGGCACATACTCCGGGGGTCATGGAACAGTTGGTTAAGCTTTCTGAAGTGAAAGCTGACAGCAGACCAGCACTGGTTTCCAGGGACAGAGTATTGCAAATAAGGTAACAACAGCTGACATTTGAGTACTTGCCATGTGCCAGACACTGTTCTAAGTTCTTTACTTGTATCATTTAATTCTAAGAACTGATTCTATAAGGTAGATAATGTTATGTCCACTTTATAGGTTTAAAAAAAAAAAACAGATTGTATTGTTTGTTTTTATGTTGTGGTAAGACTCTGCTCTCAGAATCTAGGGAAAGTAAAAATTGTCAAAAGCTTTTAAGGAATTGATGAGGTAGCTGACCTGCTTTGCTAATTAGCTGTGTGACCTTGGCCAAATCAATTTATTTCTCTGAGCCTTGGTTTCTTGATCTTAAAATGAGTATTTTTGCAAATTAGAGTAGGGTCTTTTCTAAATTTCCTGTTGGACTATTTCCCAGTTGTGGAGTATTTTAGTGGGAAGGGTGCTTAGAGACCCTTAATGTTCTAAGTCAACTCCTACCTATAGATCTCAGGGAGCTCTGGTGGCATAGTGCCTAAGGCACTTGACTGCTAACCAGAATGCTGGTGGTGCAAACCCACCAGCCACTCCTTGGAAGGAAGATTGGGCAATCTACTTCCATAGAGATACTGCGTTGGAAACCAAAGGAGGGGGTCACTGTGAGTCAGAGATGACTCTGCGGCACATAACAAGAACAAGGACCTGTAGATCTCAGGCTTGCCTGCTGATAGCTGCAGCCCACTCTCCCTCTCTGATGGTTTCTGGATGCCCATTTGAGACATGGGCCTGGACATTAGGGTTGACATGGTGCTGGAGAGCCAGACAACCTGCTTTTAAATATCTTTGTAAATTTCACCTCTTGAACTTCAGTTTCCCCGTATGTAAAATGGGAATGATATACATAGGTTGTTCTAAGGATTAAATGAAATGTTTGTGATGTATTTGCACACAAAAGTGCTTAGTTAAAATTAGTCAAATCCACTTGCCTGTCTCACCCTACACCTACTTTGTGATCCATCTTGATTCCACAGCAGAATCACTTAGAGAACTTTCAAAAAACTCTGACACCCTAGAAAGCGTTATGCTAAGTGAAAGAAGTCAGACACAAAAGGTCACATATTATATTATTCTATTTATATGAAATATCCAGAATAAGCAAATCCATTTGGCTGGGGGTGAGGTGGGGGAATGGGGAGCAATGCTTAATGGTACAGGGTTTCTTTTTGGGGTGATGAAAAATGTGTTGGAACTAGATAGAGATGATGGTTACAAAATATTGTGAATGTACTAAAAGCAACTGAACTGTTTACAAAATGGCTAATTGTATGGGATATGAATTGCTCTTCAGGTTATTCCAGTGTGTAGCCTGGGTGAGGAGCAGTGATGTAAGGTAGGAGTCAACAAACTTTTTCTGTAAAGGACCAGGTAATAGGCTTTGAGGGCTGTATGGTCTCTGTGGCAACTACTCAGCTCTGCTGGTGAACCTTGAAAGTAGCTGTAGACAGTCTGTAACAAATGAGCATATTGTATTTCAGTAAAACTTACTTCTGATAATAGGGGGTTGGGCCCCAATTTGCTGAGCCCTGATCTAAAGGCTAAGTGGGAAAGGAGTGGCTCTGCCTCAGGAACCGGAGGAAGGTGACCTCCCAGGCAGAGCCAGGCCAAGAACTGGGCTTCACTGCCGGTTTTGGTTCTTCATATTGGACCTCCTGGAGCTCTGATGGCGTAGTGCCTAAGGCATTTGAGCGCTAATCAGAAGGCTGGAGGTTCAAACCCATCAGCCACTCCTCAGAAGGAAGGTTGGGCAATCTACTTCTGCAGAGAACCGCCTCAGAAACCCAAGGAAGGGTCATTATGAATTGAATTGACTCAATGGCAGTGAGTTTGGTTTTGGTTTTCATTACTTAAGAACAGAGTGTGTACTGCAGCACCAGCAACGAAAAGTTAAAATGCCAACAGTGAAATTTGTGCTTAATTCTAGCTGTGAAAGACAAGGAAAAGAATAAAGAGAAGAAGTTCAAAGAGTTTGTGAGAGTGAAGCCAAAGAAAAAAAAGAAAAAGAAAAAGAAAGCAAAACCTGGTAATTTTCTCCCTGAGAGTGTTTCAGTTGGGTTTTCTTACCAAGGGTGGGGAGAGGTTGCTTTCTCTCAGTCCTTGCCTCAGAGCCCGCACTGAGGAGATGGGAGAAGGCCTTCCTGTTGAGCTCTTCCTAGCATGGGCCCTGCCAGGAGAGGAGACTAGAGTGTTTTAAGGCCTGCTTGGCATTTATAAAACCCTTCCTACTGCATTGGCCAGCGTGCTCTGTTACAGGGCGGACCACATGAAAGCATTAAAATTGGAGAGAATATTCAGATGAACGGCTGTTTGCACACATGACTCTTAGACCCAGATCTCTGAGCCCTTTCAAGAAAGGATTCACTTCTTGAGGTGTTGTGTTTGTGTGTTGCCCCCCATGAAAAGACTGATTTTTAAGAAAATTGATGTCCCAGCTGTGGGAGACAAAGGGATGCCAATGTTTTATTTTCAACATATCTTCTGGTAGAAAAAATTGCCATACCAGAAAAAAGGGAGAAGGGCGAGAGTAGGGAGGAAGCATTTGGTTTTGAAGTCCTTGAAGGTAGCTGATAATACTAAACCCTGAATCTGGTCTCCAAACCCCTTTGTGGGTGAATTGCCCCTGAGTCTTTGAGCTATTTGAACAGCAGGGCTGTTGATGGGATGAGATTGATTCTTGGATGCCCTCATGATGTCTAGGGTTGCTCATTCCTTCCTGATTCCGTTCTTCCAGAATGCCCCTGCAATGAGGAAGTCAGTGACACTTCCCAAGAACCTTCTCCACCTAAGGCATTTGCTGTTACCAGGTGTGGGACCTCACACAAGCCTGGGGTCCACATGAGCCCACAACTCCATGGCCTAGAATCTGGAAACCACAAAGGAAAAGTGAAAGTATCTGGTAAGGACGATTTCTGTTGACCTGACCATTTGCACCAAGCTATAGTGTGAGAAATGGAGCTCTTGTGTACTGAGTGGATAAGGCATTTGCTTGCTAACCAGATGGTCAGCAGTTCAAACCCATCAGCTGCTCTGTGGAGGGAAAACGAGGCAATCTATTTCTGTAAAGATTTATAGCCTCAGAAAACCAGTGGATGTTGCTGTGAATCAGAATAGCCTCGATGGCAATGAGTTTGGTTTTTCTTGTTATAGTATGAGAAAGGCTCTGCTGGCACTGTGGTTAAAGCATTATGTTGCAGACCAAAATGTCGGTGGTTCGAACCCTCCAGCCACTCCGTGGGAGAGAGATGAGGCAGTCTGCTTTCATAAAGATTTACAGTCAGTCTTAGAGACCCTATGGGGCAGTTCTACTCTGTCCTGTAGGGTTACTGTAAATTGGAATTGAGTCAGTGGCGGTGAGTATAGTCTAATAAGACTGGGTTTATGTGGTTACTACGATCTACTCTCTAGGCCCTCTGCCAAGT